TAAAGGGTGTGTGTGTGTGTGTGTGTGTGCACCAGGCTGATCAGTGTGTGCCGGTGTGTGGGTCCTGTATATGTGTGTGCCGGTGTGTGGATAGGTGTCCAGGCCAATATGTTCCTCCCGCACCTCCTAGCGTCACAGAGAATCTTAACACCTTCATCCCTGTATATACCGTTTACACAGGCCTCCTATAAGCCTGCGTACCTCCTCTGCCATTGTTACCTTCACAAGGTGCCTGAGGATTTCAGGCTGCGCTGCCTCCTGGGAGGTGGTAGGACTGGTTTCCTGTCACCTCAGCAGGGTGTGACAGCAGCGTGTGGAGATTAAGTCTTACCTTGGATAGTGTGATTAAACACTGAATGCTGCGAAATTGGAAACGTGATCCGAAACTTGGTGATAAACGCAATTTGCAAAATTGTTGCCGTATTTAAATTGTGTGAATCGATTGAAAACTAATTTTAAAAAATCAGAATTAATATCAGTTATGTAGATTGATTTTCTTTTTTGGAATATTATGTACTTTGGATTGTGCTAAGAAAAATTGGGGGTAACATAATAATATAGAATATTTAAGGATATTGTAGGAGGCCAACTCATTTTGGTATGTGTGTGGGGGGTGGGAGTGGAGGGGTGTTCCCTGACCTGAGGTTTACTTGAAACGCTCTTCATGAGTGTTGTGTTTCTGGGTGTATGTGTGTTTGTGTCATGCTCGTCCGCCTGGTGAGACTGTCGTCCTCACTGCACATGCAGAGACTGCTTTACTCTAATTTTCCTCATTGTGTGGGGGCCTGATAACAGTCAGTGTCACCCAGCCTCACGCTTTCAGCTGCTCTGTAGTACTGCTGACTGTTCTTATGATGACATGGACAAACCAAATGTTTTGATAAAAAAAAATGTTATTAAAAACATATGGTCTGGGGTGTTTATTTGTTGACGTAACCTTTGTGATTTCTGGTTCTTGGTTTTTCCTGACAGGCTGAGATGACAAGAATCTAGTAAGATGTGGTAAAGCAGCAGTGTTGGGTCCTCCCCAGCACAGTAACCCTGGGATTTGCTGTTCAGTTGTCTCTGACGTACAGTTCACTATATGTGAGCGACCTCAGGTGTGGCAGCCTTGGACCAGTAGGGGGGAGTGTGTTCCCCAACCATGTGAACTCACTCTCAGGTTAACTGTAGGCAAAGCTAGCATTGTAGTCTAAAACAGCATTGCCTTATTTATAAAAATCAAGCTATGTTTACTTTAAACATGACTAATTTATCCAGACTGTCTACACAGTGCAAGGCCATAGTCAGTCTATACCATCTGGTATAGGCTCCTGGCCCATATGTCCCTGCATTAGCTAAAGTCATGAGGTGTTTCTCAATAGCAAGATCGCAAAGGTCGTACTTGTGGTCTTGGCAAGACCAGTCTTGCTAATTTGCTCTCCAAGAACGAACTTGAGGCGCAATGAATCATGGGATTGGTCTTGTCTTATGAGGATGCAACCAATGTATCCTTGATATTTATGGGGGGGGGGGCAAGAACGACATCTAGGTATTTTTACCGTCCTCTGAACTTGTGTTCTTAGTATTGAAACTGGTCTTCGGCAATGGAAGATGATGTCAAGGGGTACATGGGGACACAGGTACAGTCAAATACGCATATTGAGAAACACCCATGGAGGATCGGTGGATGAAGTTACTCAACCTGAATGAAAATAAACCACGATGAATACTTTAGTGATTTAGACTTGGATTATGTTACTTTTCCAGTCTTTATACATTTATACAGGGTAATTCAAGGTCTATTACAACCATATTACTCAATAGCAGCAAGTCTATAATGAGGGACCGTTCAAAAAATTCTGAAACAGAAAAAAAATGAGCCATTTCACCATACGTGTATAATGTTCTGACTCAAGGGGATAAAATAATATCAGATGCAAAGTATGTCAAGTTTCTTACAGAACATTGCAAGTGTTGCAGGTATACTGACAAAAAAACCTGGTGAAACTGACCGTAACACCTGAACAAACAAAAACGCTGACCTTATAGTGCTTTTGGAAACATGGAGACCTTGATTATATTTAGGTAGCGGCAGGGGAAGGCAGGCTGT